GAAAAGACATAGAGCCTGTTGAAGGGTGGACCCATATACTGGATTTACCCATAGCAGCATAACCAGGATGTAAGGAGGTGAACCATCCAGGTCTTCTTTCTACAGAGGAACACATCAGAGTAAACCTTTGCTTTTTAGTCCAGTTAGATTATTTCTATAGATTATCCGGATTATGTGAGCAGTCTATTATAGCACATTGAGTATGTCTCAATGTGATGGGATTTTACATTTGATTGGACTTTCCTCATGAATTGGACATTTTTTATGTATAATTTTTTATTCAGATTTTTTGTTATTAATATTTTTTGATCATTTCATTCATGTTTCACCATTATGCAACTTAATGTATTGATATAGGTAGTTTTTCATTCACTTCCAAGTCATTATCTTATTACATCTAGATACACGTTCACTCAAAGGGTGCGGCACCATTTTTTAAATTTTATTGTTCCTCCTGTAGGTGCTAGCCCCGCTCGTGTGCTGCATAGGACGTACACCGATCGGCTGCAGTCCAAGCCAAATTACTTTATTGAACCATGATAAAACCAATACAGACAGTGGAAGTACAGCGGGGGGGACTGGAAGGTAAACATGCTTCACGCTAAAGACAGCACTTATTCATTACCTGGGATTTTTATTTTTTTTGCTATATAAATGAAAAAGTCCAAACATTTTGAAAAAACAGTGTGTTTTATCTTATGTAATTTTGCACATAAGTAATCTTTATTCATAAATCTTGGCCAAAAATGTATTCAATCTATCTTTTTAGTAAAAAAAAAAAAAAAGTTTATAACCAAAAATTATAATTTGTCAAAACATTTTTTTTTTTTACATTTTCATTTTATTTTTTTATATTATTATGTTTTTTTCAACATACTGTCACCCTAGCAGTACAGTGTCACATAGTGACACTGTATTACTTTTGGGGAGTGATGAAGATTTTTTTTTCTTTTTTTACACTGATTGCTTTTAAACACCCATAAGGCTGTAAAAGCAATCATTTCTCCTTCTCTTGGCTGCATTCCTGCAGCCATTGAGAAATACTGTGTGAGCTGTGATAGGTCCCCAGCTTGTCGCTTGGTACAAGGCTGTTGTGAATTGCCTTTGTACCATGTGACCTCTGTGATCATTCACAGATTTCACAAGTAGTAAGCAATAATGTTAGGAAGTGACATCTTGTTTTTACTACTTTGCATGTGATCACTGATTGGCCAATCGGTGATCACATGAATTGGGACCTCACACAGAGGTCCCGTACAGTGATCGGTGTTCCGGATCGCGGGGCCACGTACTTCCAGGGAGCTCGCATGGGCAGTTTATTGCAGGGGATGTTTATAAATGTCAACCTGCTCTAGCAATGCTCCCGTCTGGCCATTTATGTACATAGGCCAGACGGGAAGTGGTTAAAGGTAAAAGACAGTTCTGCAACGAACAACAATTTTAACATCCCCAAAGTGCAACGCATAAAATCCAACACACCTGGCAGGGTCCTGTCCACGGCAGAAGTTCTGGAAGTTCTGGCATTTCTGCCAGTACCCTGCATGGCTGCAGAAGCACGCATCAGCCTCAGTTTGGTGCCAGACAGCCTTTATAGGGAGGCTCATCACTTCCTCTAGTTGCTGGATGATCTCTAGCTCCCTGTGCCCTGTTCCTGGTTCCTGTGATTCTGACCTGTGATTTTGTGTTACCGACTCGGCTTGCTCCTGGACCTGCCTACTCCGCTTTACCCCTGATATGACCTCAGCTAGGCTTACGGATACTCTCTCTCTCTCTCTCTCTCTCTCTCTCTCTCTCTCGCTCCTCTGTGTATGACCTCAGCTATCCCATCTGACTACTTCTGCTCTGATTCCCACCTGGTACCTGACCTTGGCTTTGAAACGACTACCCAGTAAACATCTAAATCCCGGAAGGGCTTGCATACCACTCACAGGCACCTCCTGTCTGCAGACCTATCTCCGTGCACCAGCTGTGCTTCTGAGTGGACCACCAACCAGCACTCCTACAGGTGACCTGTGCAACTTTTGGGCCTGACTCCTGCTGTCCCACTCTCAGGGGAGTCCGGAACTTAGCCGCAAGGGAAGCCCTCTCTCCATTGGCCTCCATCACCAGGTATGTGATAACACCAACCACAGGACAGGTGCAAGAATTCCCGCATCGCACAATGGAAATGGCAAAAATCAAGAATAAAAATGAAAATAAAGCTGTAAAGAAGGTATGGGAACAAGAAACAAAAAAACAACATCCCACGAAGAAAACACCATATAATGTATTTTGGATTCATCCCAAATAAGAAGATATACAAATGATAAAACTAGATATACCTCAGATCAATAAGAAAGTCTCTGTCCTATTCTCACCATCCCCAGATATAATAAAGACCAAAAAAGCCAGAAAATAATGAAAAAAGATCAGCACCAAATAAACGCATGTATTCAAAAACCTGGTAAAAACATAATCACGTCAGAGAGAGAACGTGGTGAGGCCATGGCTGGGCAAGGAAGTCACTCGTAAAAATGGGTAAGATCGCATTCAAAATTCAAACCATTGGGAATACGTGTACACAAATGAAAAATCCAAAGGACCACTTTTGCACGGCAATCTAAAGCCATCTCCACCCCTAGGAGACCTGTCCACCCTCTTGATGCCCTGTATGCTCAAAGCACTAAGGTCACCTCCATGAGCACTGTTAAAATGATTAGCGACATTGGTAGAATGATTCTTTTGTATGTCATGAACATGATCATGGAGGCAATCTTGTGGCCTCCTAGTCGTCCTACCAACATATTGTACTTGACAACTTCTACAGGTGATCAATAGATTAGATGCTTAGTATTAGAGTTACATTACATCGAGTTTATATAGCGCCAAAGGGTTTGTTCAGCGCTATACAATAGAGGGGGGGACAATACATGAAACAGTACAGCAACAACAAACAGCACACGAGGGGTTAGAGGGCCCTACTCTTTCGAGCTTGCAATCTAGGAGGGAGGGGGTAGTGGTACAGGAGGAAGTGGCTGTGGGGAATGGAGTGGAAGGAGGAATGAAGGAGAACGGCTGTTAGGTGAGGGTGGGGTAGGCTTCCCTGAAGAGGTGGGTTTTCAGGGAGCACCTGAAGGTGAGGAGGGAAGGTGACAGTCTGATGGATTGGGGTAGTGAGTTCCAGAGGATGGGGGAGGACCTGGAGAAGTCTTGCAGTCGTGCGTGGGAGGAGGAGACCAGGGAGCAAGATAGAAGGGGGTCCTGTGAAGAGCGAAGGGTATGGGTAGGGTGGTGGTACTTGGGAATCAGGTTGGTGAGGTAGTTAGGGGCAGTGTTGTGAATGGCTTTGTAGGTCAGAGTTAGTAGTTTGAATTTGATGCGTTGGGCAATTGGGAGCCAGTGGAGGGAGAGGCAGAGGTGGAGCGGCTGGTGAGGTGGTTGAGTCTGGCAGCTGAGTTCAGGATGGTCTGAAGCGGGGAGATCACTGCACTGGGGTAGGCGGTGAGAAGGGAGTTGCAGTAGTCGAGGCGTGAGATAATCAGGGAGTGAATGAGTAGTTTAGTGGTGTCTGGGGTAAGGAAGGAGTGTATCTTGGCGATGTTCCGGAGGTGGAGCCTGCATGTGTTTGTAAGTGATTTGATATGAGGTTGGAAGGAAAGGTTAGAGTCCAGAATGACGCCAGGGACTTTGGCTTGCGGGGTGGGATTGATGGTGGTGTTGTTGGTAGTGATGGATAGGATGGGGGGGGGGGGGTGTGGGCAGGGGGGAAGACGAGGAGCTCGGTTTTGGAGAGGTTAATCTTGAGGAAATGGAGTGACATCCAGTCAGAGATGTTGTTTAGGAGGTGAGTGATGCGGGCGGAGACTGTGGGGGTGAGGTGAGGGGTGGAGAGGTAAATTTGAGTGTCATCAGCGTAGAGGTGATAGTTGAAGCCGTGGGAGTGTATGAGTTTGCCAAGGGAGGAGGTGTAGATGGAGAAGAGAAGGGGTCCAAGTACAGAGCCTTGGGGGACCCCAACAGAGAGGGGGAAGGAAGGGGAGGTGGCACCGTTGTAGGAAATGCTGAAGGAGTGTTGGGATAGGTAAGAGGAGAACCAGGAGAGAGCGGTGTCTCTGATGCCAAGGGAGAGTAGTTTATTAAGGAGGAGGGGATGGTCAACTGTGTCGAAGGCCGCGGAGAAGTCGAGGAGTAAGAGGACAGAGTAGTCGCCTTTGGCTTTGGCGGTTAGTAGGTCGTTAGTGATTTTGAGGAGGGCGGTTTCGGTGGAGTGTAGGGGACGGAAGCCGGACTGTAGTGGATCAAGGAGGTTGTTGTCAGTTAGTTGCAAGTTGATAAAATTCTTGATCCTGTAAACCTTGCCACTAACCGTGGATCTAAAATCCTCCTCTTTCTTAATACAGCAGCCGTCTATACCACACCTACAGTATAGTTACTCTTAAAGCTCAGCCATGTTCTTTGAGTTTTTTGAGAGAAGAAATAGCTAGAGGACAGAGTATTGCCCAAAACTAGTGCACATCAGCAAACAATTTTGGTACCATGGGACAATATTTGTTCAAATATGGCATCACTCAGAAGTATAGGAAGATAGCGCTCATTGATCCTTTTAATCCTCCCAAACTCTAGGCTGAAATCAGTGGTGGAGAAAACTGGTGGTCCCTGCCTGGAACTACACCTCCCCTTTGTTATTAATAAGTTGTTCCTGTCAGTATTCCCACATGGAAGAAAAATATATTTGAAATATATCTTAAAAATATTATTCCCAAATATATTGACATATATTTGAAATACTACAATTTTGGCCATATTCAATATATTTCAAAATATATTTCAATACATATGTATATATATATATGTTGTCCCAGTCTGGGCCTGTACAGTCGCATTGTTGGTGTCATTGAGGTGAAATATCTTGGGGCTGCACTTCGTCTGAGTTCCACAAGATGGCGATCTCACCTATACCCAGACAAACATGGAAGTGATGTCAGGTATAGACAGGAAGTCTCTATGGAAGACAGGAAGTGATGTCAGGTACAGATAGGAAGTTCCGGGTGAGAGGTGAGGTGGGAGGAAGTAGAGAGGAGACGTTGGTGGAAGTGGCAGCAGAGGAGGTAATAAGATGTTATTTCCTATTAACACCCAGTAACCCCCCCGTCATGTCCATCCTCTTCCCCCACAGTCACGTTCGTCCTCTTCCTCCACAGTCACGTCCGTCCTCTTCCTCCACAGACACGTCCGTCCTCTTCCTCCACAGACACGTCCGTCCTCTTCCTCCACAGTCACGTCCGTCCTCTTCCTCCACAGTCACGTCCGTCCTCTTCCTCCAGTCACGTCCGACCTCTTCCTCCACAGTCACGTCCGTCCTCTTCCCCCGCAGTCACGTCCGTCCTCTTCCCCCGCAGTCACGTCCGTCCTCTTCCCCCGCAGTCACGTCCGACCTCTTCCCCGCAGTCACGTCCGACCTCTTCCCCCGCAGACACGTCCGACCTCTTCCCCCCGCAGACACGTCCGTCCTCTTCCTCCGCAGACACGTCCGTCCTCTTCCTCCGCAGACACGTCCGTCCTCTTCCACCGCAGACACGTCCGTCCTCTTTCCCCGCAGTCACGTGCGTCCTCTTCCCCCGCAGTCACGTGCGTCCTCTTCCCCCGCAGTCACGTGCGTCCTCTTCCCCCGCAGTCACGTGCGTCCTCTTCCCCCGCAGTCACGTGCGTCCTCTTCCTTCCCCCGCAGTCACGTGCGTCCTCTTCTCCCCGCAGTCACGTGCGTCCTCTTCCCCCCCGCAGTCACGTGCGTCCTCTTCCCCCGCAGTCACGTGCGTCGTCCTCTTCCCCCGCAGTCACGTGCGTCCTCTTCCCCCCGCAGTCACGTGCGTCCTCTTCCCCCGCGCAGTCACGTGCGTCCTCTTCCATTCCCCCCGCAGTCACGTGCGTCCTCTTCCCTCGCAGTCACGTGCGTCCTCTTATCCCCGCAGTCACGTCCGTCCTCTTCCCCCGCAGTCACGTCCGTCCTCTTCCCCCGCAGTCACGTCCGTCCTCTTCCCCCGCAGTCACGTCCGTCCTCTTCCCCCGCAGTCACGTCCGTCCTCTTCCCCCGCAGTCACGTCCGTCCTCTTCCCCCGCAGTCACGTCCGTCCTCTTCCCCCGCAGTCACGTCCGTCCCTCTTCCCCCGCAGTCACGTCCGTCCTCTTCCCCCGCAGTCACGTCCGTCCTCTTCCCCCGCAGTCACGTCCGTCCTCTTCCCCCGCAGTCACGTCCGTCCTCTTCCCCCGCAGTCACGTCCGACCTCTTCCCCCGCAGTCACGTCCGTCCTCTTCCCCCGCAGACACGTCCGTCCTCTTCCCCCGCAGACACGTCCGTCCTCTTCCCCCGCAGACACGTCCGTCCAGTCCCCCGCAGTCACGTCCGACCTCTTCCCCCGCAGTCACGTCCGTCCTCTTACCCCGCAGTCACGTCCGTCCTCTCTTCCCCCGCAGTCACGTGCGTCCTCTTCCTCCGCAGTCACGTCCGACCTCTTCCTCCGCAGTCACGTCCGTCCTCTTCCCCCGCAGTCACGTCCGTCCTCTTCCCCCGCAGTCACGTCCGTCCTCATTTCCCCCGCAGACACGTCCGTCTCTTCCCCCGCAGACACGTCCGTCCTCTTCCCCCGCAGACACGTCCGTCCTCTTCCCCCGCAGACACGTCCGTCCTCTTTTCCACCGCAGTCACGTCCGTCCTCTTCCCCGCAGTCACGTCCGACCTCTTCCCCCCGCAGTCACGTCCGTCCTCTTCCCCCGCAGTCACGTCCGTCCTCTTCCCCCGCAGTCACGTCCGTCCTCTTCCCCCGCAGTCACGTCCGTCCTCTTCCCCCGCAGTCACGTCCGTCCTCTTCCCCCGCAGACACGTCCGTCCTCTTCCTCCGCAGACACGTCCGTCCTCTTTCCCCCGCAGACACGTCCGTCCTCTTCCCCCGCACCACACGTCCGTCCGTCCCTTCCCCCGCAGTCACGTCCGTCCTCTTCCCCCCGCAGTCACGTCCGTCCTCTTCCCCCGCAGTCACGTCCGTCCTCTTCCCCCGCAGTCACGTCCGTCCTCTTCCCCCGCAGTCACGTCCGTCCTCTTCCCCCGCAGTCACGTCCGTCCTCTTCCCCCACAGTCACGTCCGTCCTCTTCCCCCACAGTCACGTCCGTCCTCTTCCTCCATAGTCATTGTGACGTCTTTTATCTCCAGCAGATGATGATGATGATACACGCATATAAGTGGTGGTTTCAAAATGTTTCAAGACTAGTTTTGTAACACACCAACAGATGGCAACACCAGGTTGCATGCACAGTCACAGGGAGCACCAAGTCAGAGTGCAAAAGGCATCAACCTGTGTACATCGGGAGCTGTGCAACTGGTGTTGTTCTGACCACATGCATTACGACGTCTGCTATTTCATCATGGACAGCAAGTCAGAACAAAGAGCAAACGTGAAATTCTGCGCAGAACTGGGCAAGTCTGCGAGAAAGACGTTTGACATGATTCGGCAAGTATACAGAGATGCTGCAGTGAGTCATTCGAGGTTGTTTTTGAGTGGCACGCGCGCTTCAAGAGCAGAAGAAGACCACTGGAAGACAACCAGAGATCAAGAAGACCTTCAAGGAGCTCAACCCCGAAAATGTTCTCTTTCCGAAGATGAAGATCCAGCTCAAATGTTACCGTTTTGACAACATTCCGGAGATCCAGTGATTTGCCCAGTTTCACGCGCAAATTTCATGTTTGCTCTTTGTTTTAACTTGCTGTCAGGGACCATCGCGACGCATGGGTCTACACAGGCATAGGTGTCTGCCAAGACGTGTAGGTGGCAGGGCACTAGGACCCAGGCGCACCCGTCGTCTTGACAGTACTAGGCAGGCTCTAGGACCTAGGCTGCGCCTGTCAGGTGCAGGGCGGGCTTTTTAAAACCAGCTCTGCACAAACACTTGTTGCTGAATGGTCTTTGTATGTTGTTACCTGTGTTGTGAGTATCTTGATCTGGATTGTTTGACCTTGCTGCCTTCTCCTGTCCTGACCCTTGGCCTGCCTGACTCTGCTCCTGGATGTTCCCCTTTAAATCTGATCTTTTGGTATTGACCCTGTGTGTGACCCGACTATCCTTTGCCTACCGTTTTGTACCTCACCGACCCGCTAGTTACCGACCCGGCCTGTATGACTCTGATTTAGCTCATCCATCCATCCCACAGGGATCACTAGGCTCCCTCACATCAGACTCTTAGCCCCCTGGAGCTCCTGTCAGACTCCTCTACCCCTGTTGGAGATACCTGGTACCGGAGCGCTCCAAGTCCATCCCCACCATCAGGGGCCCTGGTGAACAAGTGCTCCGGTGCTTAGACTCCGCACTCTGTGGAGGCTCTGCCAGGGGATTGATAGAGGTGCTGTCAGGTGGTTCATTACACTTGCTGTCCATGAAGAAATAGCAGACGTGGTAACGCATGTGGTCAGAATAGCACCAGTTGCACAGCTCCGGATGTACACAGGACAATGTCTTTTAGCACGCTGACATCTGAAGGTTCGTTCTCCTTGTGACTGTGTGTGAAGCCTTGTGCTGTCATCTGTTGGCATGTTACAAAACTAGACTCTTATAGTGAGGAAATCTAGATTAACCCCTTCAGGGAAAGAACATTTCCTTACTTATGAGGCCGAAACATTCTCTTCATTGTGGAGATTTCACTTTCTCCCTTATAAGATACAAACATATTTGTGCCATGGCACATTATTCAAAGAAAAACCACTCTCATTTATTAAGGTAAAATGAAGCATATCAGTATACCACAATGTTTCTAACCAACAAGATGGCCGCCTCCTGTGTAATGACGTCACATGGCGCAACTCCACCCTTCGCGTTTTGTCATCAATGATGACGAGGAGCAGTGTTCTATTGCATTTGGCTATTCTGGGGTCTGTGAACTGTGGGCTCTACTGCTTTTCCCTGTATTTTTGTAGGTTCCAGAATTTTAGTGGGTGGGAGAGGCAAATCCTCACCTGAATATTAATGCAGCCTCAGCCAATTCCTGACAGGAAGCATGGCCAGCAGGGGGCTGTGGTGTGCATAAGTAGTCTGGGGCCTAGAACAGCAGGGTCCTTGTTTCTATGCCACATTATCACATAGGGGTCTTCTCCTCCCCCTCCTCTCTCTGGTCCCCCAGCTCTGATGATTCTCTCTCTCTGGTCCTTGGCCTCTGCTGACCGCCGAAACCTCTCTTCAGTGCGGCTCAGTAATATCCCTGGCTCTGCTAAAGTCCCACTTGGTAGTACCCCCAGCTCTGCTGATCCCCTGCTTTGTAATACCACCAGCTCTGTTGATCCTCCTCCTCCTCTCTCTGGTCCCCCAGCTCTGATGATTCTCTTTCTCTCTCTGGCCCTTGGCCTCTGCTGATCGTCTAAAACCTGTCTTCAGTGAGGCTCAGTAAAATCCCCGGCTCTGCTAATACCCTACTTAGTAGTACCCCCAGCTCTGCTGATCCCCTGCTCTGTAGTACCACCAGCTCTGTTGATCCTCCCCCTCCTCTCTCTGGTCCCCCAGCTCTGATGATTCTCTCCCTCTGATCCTTTGCCTCTGCTGATTGCCCAAAACCTCTCTTCACTGCGGCTCAGTAATATCCCTGGCTGTGCTAAAGCCCCACTCAATAGTACCCCCAGCTCTTCTGATCCCCTGCTCTGTAGTACCACCAACTCTGTTGATCATCCTCCTCCTCTCTCTGGTCCTTGGCCTCTGCTGATCTCCCGAAACCTCTCTTCAGTGCGGCTCAATAATATCCCCGGCTCTGCTCATACCCCACTTAGTAGTACCCACAGCTCTGCTGATCCCCTGCTCTGTAGTACCACCAGCTCTGTTGATCCTCCTCTTCCTCTCTCTGGTCCCCCAGCTCTGATGATTTTCTTTCTCTCTCTGGTCCTTGGCCTCTGCTGATCTCCTGAAGCCTCTCTTCAGTGCGGCTCAGTAATATCCCCGGCTCTGCTAAAGCCCAACTCAGTAGTACCCCCAGCTCTGCTGATCCCCTGCTTTGTAGTACCACTAGCTCTGTTGATCCTCCTGGTCAGGAGACCATGTTGAAGACCAGTTATGGCGCCTGTATTGCCAGGTGCTGATC